TGGGAATCATGGTAAGGGCTAAAACTTAAAAGGCAGACCTTGTATAAAACCCCATGAAAAATGTAAAATATGAAAAAAAAAAAAAAATCTAATTCCAACCCCCAATATCTACCCAATCCTGCTGCTGGAGATGGACATTCCTGCAGAGTTAAGTTCTGAATTCACAAACAGATGACCAGTCTTGAGAATCAACTGAAAAGCACAGGCAGGGATTGAACTAAACTCTGTAGGAAGGCAGATTTCCAGAAAATATCCCTCTATTTAAATGCAAGCAAGTCTTGTTTCAGGAGGATCAGTAGGGTCTCATGCGTCCTTGGAGAGGTGGTGCACGGTTCGGCGGAGTGATCGCGATGTCAAGATAATCTCCGATCTGAAAGCGCTGAGACTGAAGCGTCATGGAGTCATCTGCACCTTTCCGTCCCGAAACAGTATTGCCAATCTCTTTAACCCTACAACAAAAAAATTCACAAATACAAAAACTCAATTCACAAATACAAATCTAAACTGACCAAGTTACATATAATGACCCACCCTGAATACATTACCTGTAGATTTGTCGTTTAGGGTCTGGGTAAACAATGGCAAACCCAAAATGTGTGCCTTTCTTTCTAGCTTCTGGATAGACTTCCTTCACCAGGCTTGTAAGTTCTTTCAAAGTAGCATCCATCCTGTAACCAATGAAGATACAATTCAGAATCATATGTTTTTGTTTGTTTTTTTATAAATCAAGTTTTATAATAACACCTACCAGGTGTAAATCTGAAGCTCACTAGATGGTACATTCCCCCGGGCAAACTCATCCATGCGATGGTGCCTTCCATTGTTGGTGGTGAACACTCTCAGGAGAAGTGGGCATGTCTGTCAACAGATACATACAGAAATTAATAACTAACAGTCTCCCCCGAAACTCGGTCAACAGACGAGTATGTGCATTTATTCAATATTGATTATAACAATATTTGTTTTAATTCCGTGATACTAGTACAGTAACATGCATTTGTCACATCTTTAATATGTTCTAGATACTTGATATTTTAATGTTACTTTATTGAATGCTATACACTTATATTATTAAAGTGCGATTTGTAGTATACTATGGTGCAATTAGACATTTCAGTATCATATAATTTTAGTATAATATGCTATATACGTAAAGTTTTCTTAGTTAAATTTACAAATTAGCTTAGCATGCAAGACGCGTCGTTGGTACACGAATTTTTGCGCAACTAACGAACAGAAGCAACAAAAAACTAACCTTTTCTCTGTCCACTGGCTTTTCTGGCTCTTTTTTGATTTCCTCTTGTGTTACCCTGGATTCTACTGCCATTTTAATCCAATTTCTTTGGAAAATCTCCGATGAATCGCTGTTCACAACGCTGTTAGTAATGATCGATCACGGCGCAGTGAGATGATATCACGACTGGGAACACCAATCACAGCCAACCGATGACAACCAGGGGAATGACGACACACTCGCGTCGTCAACGCAACCCCCACCGCCATTTTGGGAGTCAGATTGTAAATATTACTAGTGACGAAAAGCAAATACGTCCACAAATTCGGTGGCCTTAATATGGTTCACACGTGCGTAGTGGCCGGGTGTCGGAACAGGAGGACTCCTGGGACCACATTATCCTTCTACAGGTTTCCACGGGACCCGGAGCGAAAGCAGCGCTGGATCGCTGCTGTGAATCGTGAAGGGTGGGTGCCAAACGAGGGCAGTAGACTCTGCAGCACTCACTTCATTTCAGGTATGTTAAATAGGATTTTATGGATATTGTTTTGTTTTTGCAGGGACAATGCACATCGCTAGGGTGAATGAATGTAGATATGTCTGGTAGTGGGGGACTATGTTTTTATTTTTGCAACGCCATGTCTGATAAGGTAGATAACGGGGCATCGATGTTAACTTTAACATTTTGAGGGCTTTAACCCTCTGGCATTCCTCACTTAGGAATCAGAACAGAAATGCTCTGTTTTATGTTTATAGCACTGTTTGCACTATGTAATATATATATATATATATATATATATACACACACACATATATTATAGAAAATAAATGTATTGTTGTTCCATTTACAGGAAAACAAGTGAAAAATCCTCGATCCCCAGACTATATTCCTTCTGTTTTCTCTTCAGCGCCACTGTCGCCAAGCACAAAAGAAGCAAGTGCCTGTGAAATGTATGATAAACAAGAGGCACAAGTGGAGGCAGCCAATGCTTTGCTCTTCCTGCAAGGACAAGGGCGTTTCTTGGAGGATCATGGCCAGATGATCAGAAGTCAAGAAGAGCCAGAGAGTATTTCCTCTTCACTAAGTAGTTGTGATGAAGAGGATGATAAAACTGAATATGGCATAGACGAAGAAATCTCACTGACAAGTGTAAACCAAAGAGGAAGTCCAATGCAAAGCATTCCCTCTGAATATGAGTCCAGTCTTGAGGCTCTTAAGAAAGAGAATATGGAGCTGAGGGAATCGATAGAAAAGATGTCTCTCACTGAGGCGTCCTTCAAACATGATCCAGAAAAGGTTCGGTTTTATACAGGATTGCCAAACTACTTTGTGTTCGAGACGGTGATGTTGCTTCTCGTTCCACACATGAAAGGGGACAAAAATGCAAAACTCTCAAAATTCCAACAACTGCTCTTGACTCTCATGCGACTCAGGCTTGATCTTAGAAATCAAGACTTGGCCTATCGTTTTGGGGTCAAGGTTGCCACAGTGACTAAGACTGTCCATCGGATTATTAATATAATGTTCACCACCCTCGTGCCCACTGCTGTTTTTTGGCCATCTAGAGTAGAGCTCAGAAAAAACCTACCTGCAGCTTTGCGCTGCACATACCCAGACTGTGCAGTGATCATTGACTGTTTTAGGGTTTCTCTGGAAAAAGCAATCTGTGTGGATTTAAACCAAGAGGTTGCATCTACAGCATTGACTGTCCCAGCTCAGTCCACAGTGAATGAGCTTAAATATGTGATAGGTGTTGCTCCTCAGGGTGTGGTCACGTTCGTCTCGAGGGGATCGCCTGGTCACGTCAGCGACAAGCATTTAGTCGAGGGTTCTGGCCTTCTCTGTAAGCTCCTGCCCGGTGATGTTGTTCTGGCTGAGCATGACTTTGACATTGGGGGCTTGGTAGGGGCTTGCAAAGCCGAACTCAAAATCACTAGTTGCAGTTACTCTGAAAATAGTCAGAGTGGAGAAGATTTTTCACTGGTGGGTGCTCTTTCAGATAAAATGAATGTTCATAGGCATGTTGGGAATGTAATAGACATGGTCAAAAGAAGATACTGTATGTTGACCGGACCTGTGGAGAGTCCCTTTACAGTAATAGAACGCACTTCCAATGTGAGCACTTTTGATAAGATAGTGCAGGTTGCTTGTGCCTTGAATAATCTGTGTATTTCTGCTGCACCCCTGGAATGATTGCTCATGTTCGCCACACTTTTTGCAAGAGCGACTTTTACCTGTACAATGGCTGAATGCACCTTTATTGTTTCCCCATTTTTACAGAAGAGAATAGTTTTTCTGCTGTTAAAAGAGGGATGAGAACATTTATGCAACTTAATGACCAGTTTATACCAAACATATTCATCAGGCACAGTTCACTGGACAGTTTTCTCTTTAGTGTTTTTTTACATGAGGATCTTCCTCAGTCTCTGAGCTAACTTTTGTTCATGCTTTGGTTTGATAGAGACATTCCATCCATAGCTTAACCTTAAGTTTCTATTGTTGTGAGTGGAGCTTGTATGCCGAGAATGTAAAATATTCAAGGCAGGAATAAGGCGTCTCAGTCTGAGACAGTTATAGTCATGTGTATTGTGACATCAGCTGTCCTTAGTTCCAGTGCCTTTGTCCATGTGAGGCTTATACCATATTTGTTCTGTTTTTTTTTTTTTGTTTTTTTTTCTTCTGTACAGATATACACTATATTTTTGCATTAAATCCAGCAATACTTTGTTCTATCCTTCTGATGATGCCTTGTCATTCTACCATGTAATATGATTTGTAAGTATCACAAAATTACAGTTTAGTTGTTAGCATTGCTATATGATCATTAAATCAACTAATAACTTTTGGAATTATATTTTCACTCTGAATATATACCATTGAACATGTCTCTGTACTGTACCCTGGTTATCTCTTAACTCTGTGCGTTTGTGTCTGTTCCATTTATATGTTATGGTTTGTGAAGACAGTACTTGTGTTGAATGTTCCATTTTACTTTACGTTCTATGTGTAAAGTTCACCTACACAACTGTAATCATCCAAATGTAGCACCCTGTTGTATAACATGTATGAAAATGTCTCTTCATAAAATTGAGTATTTGTAATTGGAACTTGTATTTTGTCACTCTTCAGGGGCATATTCACCCAAAAATGAAAATTCAGTCATAATTTATTCAAAGAATTTATTTCTTCTGCTGAACACAAGTCAATATATTTTGAAAAATGCTGTTAACCAAACAGTTAATGGGCCCCATAGTATTTTTTTGGGTGAACTATGCTTTTCCGTTTCTTTATTCTCATGAACTTTTTTCATCAATTTATTACACAAAAACAAGATAGGCTACAGGATTTTTTTCTTATTCTAATTTTGCAGTACTTTTTAAGTAGAAATTGTTCTGCGTTGTGGCATTCTATATTCCATCTATATATATAGAGAGAGAGAGGGAGAATTTGTCCCAACACAGTATTATTTCAAATATAAACAAAAAGTTGTAAAAGAAAAGCAGTTTACCAGTAATATGACATCAAATATACGTGTTTGCTTAAAAAGAATTGTATGTGCCATAATATGTCAACTGTACAGTTCCTGTTTCACAATCATTCATCAGAACATGTCAAAACCATGGTTTGATTAGAATTAGAATTTGATATTAGACTAATTAAAAGACAATTCAGGAGCCAGTAAAGAACATGAGAACAATAATATTTCATAATAGAATCATTAATAATTACCAGCATGAGTTAATGTTTATACGAACAATGCATGTCTAGCACATATCGGCCAATAATTTCCCATTCCAATGATTTTATCTGCTATAGGCTACATCAGATCAGAATCTCAACGTTGTAAATGTAGTAAGCCCCGCCCAGGGTATGTGCAGTGCTGACGTCCATGGCCACCTCACGTGACTCCTCTGGAATGTTAACAATGCAGTAAGTGTCCAACTTTGTACTGCATTCTAATTCTGCCGTGAGTGGCGAGAAAATGGAGGACAATCCCATGATTTTCCCTGTGTGCTTTTTATGAGAGGACATCGAAAGTCGATCCGTGGGAAACAAAACACCAGACCGATAATCTACAACTTTACTGAAGTTTAAATCAGTTCCTTGGATTAAGGCACTAACACCTATCACATGGTGAGTCGCTCAAAACTTTATTTTATTTTTTTCAAAACGTTAGTATTAGTAGCTTTCAGGAATTTCTATGTTCGATATGCGGCCGCAAATCCTTTGTAAGTTTAGGAAGGGAGTTGTATTGCTCATTTAAAGTGAGATAGGAGTGAACAGCACATTCTCCCTGTGTTGGAATGCGGACTTGCTCCAGCGGATCTGCGTTCTTCTCTCTCGCTCCAGTCCCAAAGCGCTGGAACCTCTAGGCCTCGTAACTCTATAAGTTACTTTGTGTCTATGAAAGCATTTTGAATAGTTGCTGTTTGTTAATCCAATGATACAAATGTGAGATTATGTAGTTTACGTAAAACATTTTTATGGCAGACAAATGATAAAACCGAATCTTTATACTGAAACTAAACGTATCGTTGCTTTCATTGATAAAACGGCTTAATACATAGTTACGTTAAAATCTCATGAAATTTACCGTTGTCCGCAGTTAATAGGCTATTGTATTTTTACTCGTGCGTAACAAACCATTCCTACTTTCTGTTTTTTCTTTTGTTAATGTGTCGCGCGCAGTCAGATGTTTACCCAAAGTCAGATGTTTTACCAAGATGATGTACTACAACGATCCGATTGCATTACACGTTGATTGTTTTGAAATTTTATAATTCACCCCACCCACAAAACGATTATCTTTTTTTTTGGCATAAATTGTGTGATGATGACATGTGCTGGGATCTGTCTGCATTACGCTTGTTGTGTTGTCTGCTTTGTTTAAACACTACATTGGAAGCAAATTAAAATAATGATAGTATGATTCTTCATGAGACTTATACTTTCTAATGTGTAGACAATATATGAAGAGTTCAGATGCAAAAGCCTCTAAATGCCATTTGAAGTTTTCTTCTTTAATGATAATTTTTTATCAAACTTGTAGGCTATATTTCAGTAATTTCACTTAATTGGCAATTATAATTACCTATTAATTGTTATTTAAGTGAAATTACTGAACTTAAATATACAAGTTTGATAAAAATCATCATTAAAGAAGAACATTTCAAATGGCATTTAGAGGCTTTTGCATCTGAACTCTTCATATATAATTTTAATAATATAATTCTACTACAATACAAATATATAAAAGGCCCATTATCATAACATTTTATGTTTGAAACTATTTTGTATTGGACAATTACCATGGATATGTATAGGATATGCTCTCAGAATTTGTTTACATTGCTTAAAATGTGCAAATTGATTACTTATGTTACTTACATAGGCATTTATAGGCAATATAGCACATGCCATAGCATTGTGTAGTGTTTTACAATGAAAGAAAGTATGAAATATTCTTTAACTCTCGTTTAGGAACATTGCTGGAGAACTGTGCATGCATGTTTGTGCTAGTTGTACATGGATTGTGGATTATTGCTGCAGTGTATTTATGGTCATTTGCCAGCTGTGGACATTGTATCCCATTAATGAGTTGCATCAATCCAACTGCAGATGTAGCATAATGGCTTGTGTTATGAATATGAGTCTGTAAATATTTTTGTTTTTTCATTGATTATCGCTGAAGTGTGCTTGGATTAGTATTTGAATGCAGCGGTACACATTTTGCAGTTGTTACTTGGAATGAAAGGCATAGAAAATATTGTGTTGGACACTTTGACAATGATTGGAATTGGATTATTGTTCTAGACTGAACGATGCATTTCAATATTGACCACCAGAATTCCCGAAATGTGTTTGTCCTAAAAGTCCTTTCTTTTTTATGGTCAATATCCTTCCATTATTTTTATTAAAAAAATAATAATAATAAAAAAAAATCTGATTTAATGATGTAGAACGTTTGGAATTTGAACGCTCCATAAAATATAGAGATACAGTCAGTCTCTCTATTCAAAGGATCTTGTACGCATTTACAAGATCCATTTTCTTGTGAATATGAGGTATTTCGTATAGAAAAATTAAATTTTGAGCAGGATAACAAAGGGATTCTTACAAAAAGTCACAGTTTCAAACCATGATTAGTAGCTTTTTGGTCTGTTTCCCCAGAACAGAACACTGTACATCTCATAGACATCCAGTCATTTAGAAATAATGATTGAATGATCACTGCTGATTTGAGGCTCAGGAAACATTTCTTATTTTCAATGTCGCTTAAAGGGTTAGTTCACCCAAAAATGAAAATTAAGTCATTAATTACTCACCCCCATGCTGTACCAACCCCGTAAGACCTTCGTTCGTCTTCGGAACACAAATGAAGATATTTTTGATTAAATTTGAGAGCTGTATAACTACCATATTGGCTCCTAAAGGACTGCCTCTTGACGGCCCAGAAAGTCAATGAAGAAAATGTTTAAATATCCCAAGTGACTACCGTGGCTCAACTATATGTTTATCAAGCGACGCGAATACTTTTTGTGCGAAAAAACAAACAAAAATAACGAGTTTATTCGACTATTTCTTTTCTTCCTTGTAGGCCAGAACGAGACTTCCTTAGATTTCCACGACGCATGCGCGAGAATTGCGATCTGAAGTAGTGTAAGCTGGTGTGAGCAGATCGCAAATCTCGCGCATGCGTCGTAAACTAACCCTTTAATATTTTTTTGAAAATTGTGTAAAAAAAATTCAGGATACTTTGAATAGAAAGTTCAAAAGAACAATATTTTAAATATTTTTTGTACCATCTTGCATCCTGAAGTATGAATTTCTTAAATGTTTTTTTTTTTTTTTTTTTTGTAAAAATCTTACAAAAAAGACTTTTCTGTCCCAGACTTTTCAATGAGTTGTAGGCTAGATGTTGGTAGTGTTTGTGTTGTGTAGTAGGCTAGTTGTTATTTGATTTTATATCTAAAATAAGCATTTGCCCTTTGACTTTAGATAGATTGCTTTTCATGTGAGCAAAAGGAATATGCTTTCTCTTTCTCTGACTGCACATTCTCTTATAAAAGAGTAACAGTACAATTCTATATATATATATATATATATATATATATATATATATATACCATGTGTTTAAACCTACAACAGAGGTGCTAATGTCCGATAATGTCAGACAGGTATTTGTCATAGTGATACAGGGCTTTGGACTTGCCTGGACCGCACCCTGACCCTTCTGTCTAACACTGTCTCCACAGGCAAAGATGCATTCCAGACTGGGATGGAACAAGCACGCAGATGGAATAACCCCTCACATGTCTTGGGAGGAGGGGGAGTGTGAGCCCTGAAAGGGGTGCTGGGATGTGAGTAGGCCAGCATCCAGCACGAGCCAGAGCCAAGAGGCAGCATCAACAAAGACAAGCGACAACAGGAATCCTAATCTTCACTTGCATCTTTCCCACTGCAGTCTGTTATCTATTCAGGTCAGACTGAGCCTGGGTGTGTACAGTTGTGTGTCTTATTGTATGATTGTACTACTGTTGTGAGTGAACAACTGACTGAATGTTTCTGCCTTCTCCAAGTGTGAAGAGTTTGTGTGAGAGCGCAGGCCACGTTCACTCATGAGGCCTAAGACCTTCCCTGCCGCCCCATATGTGGGCAACACGCGCCAGCGGCTGCAGGAGATCAAGGAGGGACTGAAACAACCAGCAAAGCTGGTGAGCCAGGCGCTTCATGGAGGGAGCGCTCGAGGGGAGGGGGGCAGAGGTGGCGACTCTAAGGGCAAAGACCAAGCTGGTAGGCAACAACAGCTCCGGCAGCCCCAGAAGTTCAACAACTACCAAAACGCCCTGCGAGAGATCCGCAAGTCTCTGATGCCCTTTGCCAATGAGTCGGGTCCAGGATCCAGCTCAGGGCACCCTGGTGAAGTCAACAGACAGATGCTACAGGATCTTGTCAATGCTGGTTGTGATCAGGTAAAGAATGTCTTTGTTGGATATACGTGCGTGTTTAATAATTTAAATTACAATAATAATACAATGTAAATATTTATTTTATATTAAGTCATTATTTGTATAGTCTTTACTACTAATTAGTTGATCATAGCCCAGTTAATGCATGGACTTAATGCATTTAACATGTTGTTTTGGTATATTTGTGTTACTGTGCAATAGTGGTTGTGCAATCAGTACTTGGTTAAATGTGTTACATGTGTTCTGGTCCTTGTATTGAAATCTAGTGGCTGAATATTAAAGGGACAGTAAAATGTGAAATGCTAAGAATGTGGTAAAGAATGTGGTGACCATTGAACGCCATTATATGACAAATAAAAATCACTGAGATATTTAATCTTCTTTTATTTTCTACAGAGCAGTGTTGTTATTTTGTATTATACTAAAAATATAAAAAAAATATTTGGCATTTAAAAATAAAGCTGAAATAAAACAAAATTAGAAATAAAAAAAAATAAAAAAAAATAAATAAATTAAAAAATGACATATATGAAATAAATATAATATATATATATATATATAAAATATATATATATATATGTATATATATATATATATATATATAAACAAAGCTGATAATGTCTTATAAAAAAAGCACATAGCAATATTACTAAAACTCAAACAAAAATATGAAAATAAATATGTGATAATATTATTAAAATAATTGAAGAAATAAAGTCTTAGCTTTAGAACGACATGAGGGGTAGTAAATGATGAACAAATTTTAATTTTTGGATAGTTTTTTGGTTTGTCCAAAATAAATTGTGACCCCCCCTTATAGGTATTCTATTACAAAACTGTTTTCTGCAACATATTCATAATTTACATATTCATAATTATTTTCAAAATAAAACCCATATCATATGAGAGGTTTAGTGGCCTTTTTTGATAGTAGCTTGTTCATGTTCTTGTTTAGTGTGCTTTGATTTAACCCCTTATACAAACCCCTTGTCACTCAGATCATTAATGAATATATGTTGGGGCTTTGCTACTAATGTTCAAACACAGGTCTGAGAGCGGCCCTGTGATTGCATTAGGCATTTGAGGAATGCTGTGCTCAAGCCCATGCACAACACCAGGGAGAAATCCACCACGGCCCAGTGGAATTACGAGGCCTAGCTGAAGGGAGCCGAGCTGCCTTTATGACATGGCTAAATAGAGACTGGAATGGGGCTTTTTTAGGTCTCTGGAAGCTGAAACATGCTATCAGATGAAGTATAGTATGGAGTCAGACTCTATTTGGATCACGTTATTTGGATACATTCGTAACGGTTTTATCTTTTGCTGTCAGTCCTGAATCCTGATGATTTAATTTTTTGCATATTCAAACACAACGCACACACACGCATGTATGGATGGATCTCATCAGAATAGCCATTTGGTCTCTCACAAGATAGAAAGGCTAATATTTCACAGGCTTCACAATCAGTGGGTTAATTGTCTTTGCCCCGCATTTAAGTGGACAGTACAATATTAGTACATTCAGAGGAAGTGCTCAGTTCAGTTGTAGATGGGTGGAACGGTTTCCCCAGCAGAAGTATGCTGGGATTGACGGACACTCTGACTATGTCCTTTGCATGTTTTTGTCTTGATGTGTGGGTTAAAGTTTTCTTTTTTTAGTTGATACAAAAACATGAAATTTGTGTTTTGTGGCTCAGTCTGTCTGACTTTGTCTCCTCCTGTATTCAGATTTAGCATAGCCAAAAGTCCATTGGAGTTTGCGCCTTGTTCCTGAGACGTACACCACATGCACCTAGACCTCCCATACGACCTGGGCATACGTTTCATTTTTTTTTTTTTTTTTTTTTGTAATAGTCATTATTGTGACATGATATTTTTTAGTTCTCCTTCATCCTCTGACTGGGGCCTGTGTTTCTCTTCTGGCCATCCGTACATTCCAGGAAGGTAAATGGCTGCCACTGGCCCTTCCTTGGGTTTCTTTAGTTTGATCATTATCATTGGTTTTCACCTCACAAATTACACAGCAATGCGGCTGATGGTTACATAACCCAACTCTGAAGGAGGAAATGACATGTGTTGTGGATTAGTGGTTTCGAGCTTAGGATATGAAAAGCTGCCTGCATACATCATGCATGTGATGTTTGTGTACTTGTGGAATATACACTGTTAAATTTGTAGTGCTGTGTTGGCAAATCATGTTTGCACATGATCTAAATGTTTATATTAGCCTTCCTTCACAACCTAGTATTTCCAGTGTCTCACACCACAACCGGTCAGCATTTTTGCATTATTCACCATTCGACTTACCTTATGTGAAATTTCTGAGTGGAATAGGATATTTAACAAGGGAAGAGCTATGTTTTATTCTTCAAGACTTGATTTGGATCATTAAAGTGGGCGTATCATTAAAAAAAAAAAAAAATGACCCAAGAGGATGGCAATGAAAAGAGGGATTGGGGAATTTTTGCATTTTATAAAAGATTACAAAGGCCATTTAAAAAAAAAAATCATTATTTATTATTTTTAAATATTATGCATCAATCAATTGTTTTCAATAATACCAAGAACAATGTGCATTAAGAAAGTTAATAGGGCCAATATTTTTTAATTTCATGTTGATCTTTTAAGTTTACTCACTTTTAAGTATAGTTTAAAGCAGTTTCCTTTTGCATACAAGGTGTACTACCATTCAAAATATTAGAGGCAGTAAGACTGTAAAATCAATTATTTTATCGAGGATGTGTTGATCAAAAGTGAAATCTGCATTATTGCATTCAAAAACTTGGATTCTTACAAAAGATTTCTATTTTAAATAATTTCATTAAATAATTGTAGAAAAACTGATCAAATATTGAGCAGCACAAATATTTTCAACATTAATAAATATAAGATATTTTTCTTTATTTTCTTTCAAAAACATTTAAAAAAAACTTTCCAACCCCAAACTTTTGAGCATCACTGTATATATTTTATCAGTTCATGCATACACTAGAAATTTCACCCATGGTCTTGCCATTGCTAGTGCCATGCTCTTCTGTTTTTTTTGTTTTTTTTTTAACTGCTATTTTATTACAGTATGGATAATGTTCCACCTCTCCATCTGCTGATGATGATATATCCCCCGGTTCTGGTCTCAGAGTCCTCCATATGGCTTTCATTTTCATGTTCATTGGTGGAATGTGTTTTAGAATTTGGGTCAAAGTGGAAGCTCTTAAAAATGAACAGTGAACAGCATTGTAATATGTCATTTTAGTCAAGAAGAATATACTTGGTACTTACCAACACCGCAGTCAGAAAGTGAATTGTCTAGTAGAGCATTGAGGCTTGTGGTCATGACAGGGGTGTAAATATATTTTGGATCCAACCAAATGAATGCTAAAAACACACTGGAACAGAATGATCTAAAAAATAAAGAGAAGGGACAATTTAAAGAAAGACTGAAGCATAGATTTCCACATAGCTGGAATTCTTGCTTCCTGGCTCATGGAATGTACTGAACATCTGTCGCCATGACAGTGGAGGTCAGGCCTGACCTAAGGCCAAACCAGACCCAGCCCTTCCTGAAACCAGACTGGAGTTCATGTTAAATTGTTGTGTTTGTGTGTGCCTTTTAAAAAGAGAGAGTGGCGCCTTTAAATCACTAAGGGGGACGAGAAGGCACACCCTTAGAGCGGACAGAGATGGAATGCAACAGAAAGCCCTGCCACTTCTTAGAGCAGCAATCACAGACAGACAGCGTGTGTTTGGTACAGTACTGACCATAGTGCAGGACATTTGTGATTAAGACAAAATCATTTGTGATTTAGACAAACTGATGGCAATACACAAAACTCTAAATTACTCTTAGAATGTGTGTGGATGTGTCACTGCATAATGTGTTTGCCCACTGTTTGTATGGCTGCTGCACTTATTCCTTCTTTTTCTTTTTTCCATGGCATGCTTTGTGCAGTATCATGTTTGAACACCAGAGGCAGTATAACATGGCTTGCTGTGCCGCAGTAGAATTGGTTTGGGCAGAATGTCTTCTGAATGAGGTCATATGCCATTCAAGGGGATTTCCTCATATAGGTGTGGGTCTCTGCTCACAGAAAACTGTACATGTCTGAGTTGTTTTATTCTGGATCGCTGCGGCTTTGCAAAATGTGACAAGGAAAATTAAGATTAATAGAGTTGTTGCATGGTGGGTAATCATGAGTAGAGATTGAGAATAACTATTTTTCTTTAAAAAAATTTGTCTTTATTAATAATTTCAACTTATATAAAACTGTTTTCTTTGAAATTAGTAAACAATATAAACAATAATACAAATGAAGAATAAAAAATGGTATGCCTGTAACCCTGATACCCTCATGTCACGATTTGATATTATCACCATACTAAACTCACAATGCGACATTGGTCACAATAAGACATATGGTAAAAAGGTTGACAAATGTACTGTTGATTAAAATGCTAAATTTGGTAATAAAGATCTTTGTTTACAAGTTCTAGAGTTCTATGTCTACAGGTAGTTGTAATCTCATAAACAAAATCCATCTTCCAAGTAATATTGGATCATCTCAAGTATCTATTTAAAAACCTTACATAAATGTAGAATTTGTGCCTCACTGGTGCATAATGAGAGGAAATGCATTGTGAAAAGAAATTGTGTTGCCTATGTTCTAATAGTTCTCTACTTGAATTTCTGAAACAGGAAATGGCTGTACGTGCCCTAAAACAGACTGGCAGTCGTAATATTGAGGCAGCGTTGGAATATATTAGCAAAATGGGTTACCTGGACCCTCACAATGAACAGATTGTACGTGTCATCAAACAGACTTCCCCAGGTATGTGCACACTTTTAAAACTATATATATACTACTATATAAAAACTATATATATACATGCATATATATATATATATATATATATATATATTATAAATGATTCACTGTCTTTAAGTGCAAAGTGAACCTTTTGTAATTTCCTTCAGGAAAAAGTGGCATGCCAAATATGATGGATCACAGGACGGCAATGGAAGGCACTGGGGATGGTGTAATGCCCCCTTATCACCAAATGGGAGCACCTCTGTATGAGGGAGCTAGTTATGGGGCTGAGGGTGAGATAGCTCGTGCATACATGGGTGGACCACCTATTATGAACTACATGGCACCGCCTGCCAACACTTCACAGGGTCCTACCATGGGAAACCCAATGGGTCGTCCTGCAAGTATGGGTGCCTACTCTACAAGCTTGGCTCCTCAAACTAACACTGGGAACCCTATGTACACCCCTGGTCCAACCCAGCAAAAAGGATACCCTGGTGGAATAGACCAGGCCATGATGGGTTACAGTGTGCCTGGACCACCCATGCAAATTCAGCCTCAGCCCTCGGGAGGCCCTGGCCCTCATTATGACTACAGGCCTCATATGATGGAGGCCTCCAGCTATGGGGTTAAACGAAGTGCTTCCTTCCAGAATAAGATGCCCCCACTTACACCTGAAAACTATGTTAATATGCCAAGCAAAGGAGCAATAGGCCAAAACTCTGGTGGCTATGCCCCCAACTTATATCTGCCATCACATTCACACCCACGCCAAGCCAGCCCCACCTCACACCAGGTTCACTTGATGCAACGCCCCCCTGGTGTTGCCCCTGGAGCTATGGGTGGTGAGTTCTCTGATGTTCCTCAAGGTCTCCTCACCCCTTCTAGGGCCAGTCTGAACCTTGACCTGTATGAGCATCACTGGCCAGGAGCCCAAGGTCCCGAGGGGACTCCTCCAGCCAGGCAGCCACAGGGGCCTTTTAGAGGGGAGGTGCGTGTCCCCAGTAGGACCAATTCTTTTAACAACCACCAAAAGGTGACTGTAAGGCAGGCATTGCCTCCTACAGCTAGTGTTGCCGGCAAGCCGGAGGCATCATTGGGACCACCTAACACAATAACGGCAGTGACCTCTCCACCAATCCAGCCACCTGTTAAGAGTATACGGGTCATGAGGCCTGAGCCGAAGACAGCTGTGGGACCATGCCACCCAGGCTGGCTGAGTGCACAAGCCCAGGATGCTCAAGAGTCTCATGGATACATGCCAGATGAGACTTTTACCCTGGAGCCCAATCAAGAACATCGCTGCCCGCCTCCACCTTACCCCAAAACACTGCTCCTGTCTGGATCTGGACCTGGAGCTGAGCCTGCATCCCTGGAGACTGGAGCCATGGGTGGACTTCAAGATGTCAGTGCTACAAGTAGGACTGTCCAGAGTGCCTCAGCTGGAAAGAAGGAGGAACCTGTCTCCAAAGACAAAGTGAAGACTAGCAAAGGAGAGAAGGCTGTGAAGGATAAGAAGCAGATCCAAACCTCACCTGTGCCTGTGAGAAAGAATGCCCGAGATGAAGAGAAGAGAGAGTCGCGTATTAAGAGTTATTCTCCCTTTGCCTTCAAGTTCTATATGGAACAGCATGTGGAGAATGTGATGAAGACCTACCAGCAGAAACTCAACCGCAGAATGCAACTGGAGCAAGAGATGTCCAAGGTGAGCAGTGCTGGAACTTCATAAACCACAAAGCACACAGTTCAATGATTTGCTCTACAAACAATTGTGTTATTAATTCTTTGAGTGTTCACTATTGAGTGTAAATGTTATTGTTGTCAAATCAAATCAGCCTCTTCAATATCTTCCTCTCCTCCAGGCTGGCCTTTCAGAGGCAGAGCAGGAACAGATGAGAAAGATGCTTTACCAGAAGGAATCCAATTACAACCGACTCCGCCGTGCCAAGATGGACAAATCAATGTTTGTCAAAATCAAGACACTTGGGATTGGGGCCTTTGGTGAGGTGTGTCTTACACGTAAAGTGGACACTGGGGCACTGTATGCCATGAAGACTCTAAGAAAGAAAGATGTTTTGAACCGAAACCAAGTTGCCCATGTGAAAGCAGAAAGGGATATCTTGGCAGAGGCAGACAATGAGTGGGTAGTCAGGTTGTACTACTCATTTCAGGACAGAGACAGCCTGTACTTTGTCATGGATTACATTCCTGGAGGAGATATGATGAGCTTGCTGATTCGTATGGGGGTTTTTCCAGAGCCCTTGGCCAGGTTTTATGTTGCAGAATTGACATTGGCCATCGAAAGTGTGCATAAGATGGGCTTCATCCACAGAGATATCAAGCCGGACAACATCCTCATTGACCTGGATGGACACATCAAACTGACTGATTTTGGTCTGTGTACAGGGTTCCGTTGGACACACAACTCAAAGTATTACCAAAAAGGTAAGACGTTTAAAAACGTGGCCTAAATACTTGTGCAGTGTTTTATTAGATCTTATTAATTGGTTGTTTTCTCTCTGCACTGCTTGAATAGGGAACCATATCCGGCAGGATAGTATGGAGCCAAGTGACTTTTGGGATGATGTGTCTAACTGCCGTTGTGGTGACCGGCTGATGACTTTGGAACAGCGGGCAACTCGACAACACCAGCGTTGTCTAGCACATTCTTTAGTCGGCACTCCTAACTACATTGCCCCTGAGGTACTTCTGCGCAAAGGTAAGACCAAGCACATGATCAACTGGAAGTACAAGCAAGTTAACAGGAAGTGCTTGTGTTTATAGATCTCTTCTCCTGTTGTGATACTTTTTTTCGTGTGCAGGATACACACAGCTGTGTGACTGGTGGAGTGTGGGAGTAATCTTGTTTGAGATGCTGGTTGGCCAGCCACCCTTCCTTGCTCCAACCCCAACGGAGACACAACTTAAGGTGAGCTCTATATGCATCATCTTAGGTTCCTTAGGGTTGATGCAAACCATGGATGTCCAATCCTGCTCCTAGAAAGGCCAATGTTCTACAGGGTTTAGTCCTGTATGTACCCTCTTATCGTTGACTGCTGAGTGCTGTCCACTCGTGTTAATTATCTGAATGTGCTCCTCCCGAACTTAGTTAAGTAAAACTTCATTTGACGTTTCATCTGAGCTGTACCACAACCGGTCGAAAATGAAAGTCTCACGTGAGAACTCCGGTCTTGCACATGTGATGTCGTGTTGTTTCCTTGTCACATCTCGCGTGTGTTTGTTGTGAAATGTACGTAGTTTGCGCGCAGCGTGCTAGATAGAGTTGTCGCCGATTCTTCCTATTGTAAAGTCATGCAGTGTGAAACCTTCTGTCGCCGAACCGTTGTGCAGTGTGAACACGGCAGCGACTGAATGCTGGCAAAGATAATGGGATTGAATTAATGGGATTGTAAAGTGTCCATCATATGCACACTTCAGAATCACGCTGGAAGAAGTAGGTCACTGTGTACTTTTCTCCTACTCTTTTATGAGTGCTGTGAATTCTGACGTACTTCTTTTAACACATACTGTTTTTAGCCTACTATATAGTAGGGAAGTATGCGGTTTCAATTGCAGCCACGGTCTTCTGTGAAGTTATAAATGTTGGAGATTTATGGAATGGTGACATTTGGGAAGAAATGTTGCTAATGTTTATGTCATCACTTCCACAGGTGATAAACTGGGAGAACACTTTGCAGGTGCCCCCACAAGTAAAGCTGAGCCCAGAGGCAGTTGACATCATTGGTCGGCTCTGCTGCTCAGCTGAAGAGCGTCTAGGAGGTAATGGAGCTGGAGAGATAAAGGCTCACCCATTCTTTTCCGAGATGGATTTTTCCAGCAATCTTCGCACACAACCTGCTCCATATCGACCGAAGATTGCCCACCCCATGGATACATCCAACTTTGATCCTGTGGAAGAGGAGGGGGGTCCAGGGGCCTGGAGTGACAGTGGAGACAGTACCCGTACGTGGGACACCCTCTGTTCTCCTCACGGCAAACACCCTGAGCATGCCTTCTACGAGTTTACTTTTCGCAGGTTTTTTGATGATAATGGTTGTCCATTCCGTTATCCCAAGCCCCCAGAGGCGACACAAGACCTGCCCAGCAGTAGTGTGCCTGGTAGCCTGAAGCCTGAGTTGGAGGAGGAAGAAATTCATGAAGAGGAAGAGCAAGGGGAAGGGTGTGAGCCGGTTTATGTGTGAGAATGTCAGATTGGGTGTTCATGCTGCTCTGCCTTTACCCATAGAAGACCTTGTCTGTTAACACGCTGCATCTTCCACACATCCTTTCAACCCTAATTTTTTTCTTCAGGGTGTTTTTGTACATGTTAAGTGCATGGAAGAACATCAGAAATGGAGTGCAAAAAGTTCCATGTGAAATGTGTTTATTCCTCTCAAACATTATGCAGTATCCTTTGCCTGTTACAAATGACTGAAGCTCTGACCAGGGACCAAGGAAATGCACAAGCTATGCAGCTTAATTCATGGGGACTTTGGTTGGAATGATACATTTGGGTACTCTCCTATGAGAGCACAAAAACAGAGATGTGCTTTGTGTTTTTTACTCTCATGGTTCGTGTAGTCTGTCTCAACTGTGCCCCATTCCTTAATTCCACTGGGGGGAAATTTCCCAGTCTTACATCATAAGTCAATACTTCTTCCTTCACCTCTCTCAGCCTGGTGATGCTAACGTAGCCATTCCGAACACCAGTGAGGTCGTGGTGAGGGATCAGGAAAGAGCTGGGCTTGAGATGGTAGCTTTATGGTTAGGCTGCGATAAGGAGATGTGCCGAGAGCAGACAGAAATATTACAATTCCCTTCCATAGCGCAATCCCACAAAAATATAAATGCAAGTTATGCAACATGAAAATGGTGTGTCACAACTATTGGTTTTTACTCATAACACCAAACTGACTTCATATTCAGAAATATTTTCTGAAGTATGGAAGCCAGATTTTCATATCTGTGATCTTATAATCTCAGTCATTTTCACATTATTTGTATAAAACAAAAAAGAAGATATTGTGGCGCCACCAAGTGGTTCAAAAGTGACACTGTAAACAATCGCGCATATTCTTCTGAAGATCTAAGTCCTAGATTATAGACTGACAGTATTAGGTCACTTCTTCATGCAAAGCAAAAGATCATGCAGTATTTTGCAGTTAATTTACTTATCACGGCTTTTTTTTGTAAATATTATACAGTTATCTTTTTTATGTTTCATGCCTTATCAGGAGAATCTGGGCTCTCAGATGTGATGCAATATTAAGACAAAATGTTATGGACAGCCAGCACTTCAAGGACATGCAATCTTAACACTGCCATTATTGTTGAGAATTTTATAGAAACAACCTATTGCTTTAAAGCTGAATCCTGATGTGTGGTAATAACATCAAATATGCCATAAAAGTTGCAATATTGAAACTATTGACTCTTAAACTAAGAAAGAAAATTAACTCCTAAAACCCTGCTTTTTACACACATGCCAGTAATATGCATAGTAACATTTATTCATTCAAAATAAATGCAGCACAAAACTTTGCGGTATTCTCAAATTTGAATTTTGCTTAAGTGTGTTAGTTTAGTTGCCAAACTATTGTTTTTATTTAATTGCTATTTAAATTCAACAAACATTTCTCTTGTCTGGCTTGATTTAATTTGCTTAAAAGCTTACTTATCCTGTTCCCAATACTTGCTTTACATTCATTTGTATATAACACATTGTTTTTAGAGGTGCGTTTTCTCAGCAGCTGGCTATCCAGAACAAATTCTTAGCATAATAGTTTTTACCTAAAAGTTCTACAAAAGTACAAGGGATTCGAGCTGTTTCCTTTTCTCGTTATGCTTTTCATCATATAACTCTGTCTGCTTTATCCTCTTCCTGTTTCCCAGAACATCTTAATTGCATTTAGTTTCATAAGAAGATCTTAAAAGTCAGACAGGTGGTTTTTGTTGTGTTTGTTCATGCTCTTCCAGATCCACTGGAAATGATCTTGTATGTCACCATCAGTTAACTTTTTAACCGATTTAATGGAACAAGTGTAAAAAAAAATTGTCATCGAGGCTGCTGCACCAATTCAACGTGATCACACAGCACAGTATTATAACAAGACGGTCTCTGACTGAAATGTAAAGAATACTTTGACTATGAGGCAGAAAATGATGAAGTGGCAAAAGAAAAATGTATCTGATGGTATGACTATGTGCAATACAAAAAAATACAATATAGTTTTCTAAATACAACAAATAGCCTTTATAACTTTAAAACTGAATTATGCTATCTAAAAGTATATATTATATTGATATATATATATTTTCAGTATAGTTTCATGACCCAATGCTGCTTATTATTATTATCATTATTATTAATATTACACTATAAAGTACATTATCATTATACTTTCATTTCTAATTTTTCTCTCTTTGTGGATAAAGTGTGGTTTTTATTGTCAGTGTGATTGATCTGGTGCAAGATGAACTATGTGCCTTCTAATGAATGTGTGGGTGTGTGTACCGTGTGCTGATCAGTATTTCAGGAGAAGATGGAAACGCTGTCACTTCTTGCTCTCAGGCAGGTCCTGACTGTAAGAGAGGCGGTGTTGTTGTTGTTGTTTTTGTGGATAGCTTGAGGAAGACAAAAAAGAAAGCAAGAATGAATGATTGTCTTTTTTGAAAGACAAAAAAGCAGCAAGAATGATTGTCAACGAGACTCTGAAGGAGATGTATATGGATGTCATGGCAGGGTGGATATGGAAACACATTATAGGCATTTGGTCAATGATAAGGATTGTTTTGAATTTCTGTGATAAGTCCATTTAATTGTGATCTAATTTGTAGTGACGATTGCATGAATTATCTCTCGAGCTGGCTGACAATCATGTGGTTACGTGCTTGCAGTCAATATTGTCAAATTACCCCGTATGACCGCCGACTTGAAGAGCTTTAAAATGATCCATTCACGTTTGCTTTATATATTGTCTCAGTACGATCACTCCTAAAAGTTAAGTGAAACCTTAACAAATATATTTCCGAGACATTGTATATGCCTACTCAAATTGGTATCATGCCTTTGGTCCAGTCAAACCAGTGAGCTCAATGGGAGTGTGACGGCAAGCGATGCAGATGTTTTGCTACCCCGAATTCATCAGAATGGGCCACTCAGTGAAAAAGCATGGCTTTCTACAAATCTCTCACAGAGTCAGGTATAGGGTTTGAATGTAATTAGTGTGTTGTGGTTATGATGGATTCTGTGTTTTACTTTTGAAAATGTTGGCTGACAATCTTTGACTGTATTTAGAACTGTGTGATGACGGGACTTTTTCCTCTAATGTTTTTGTATTTTAATGGATGAATGGGTTGGGACTTTTTGACGTTTGTAATCTTTTACCTGTATTTTACAATTCTGTTACCATTGAACATATATTTATACAGATATACATATTTTTTGTATCATTTTATTCTTTATTTTTCTCTCTTCTGAGCTAACTTTTGAACCCCATGTCTACAGTATTACAGACAGTATGCATTTGGATTTATATCTCATTTTTACATGTATGTATGAATTGAGAATGTTTAAGAAATGCTTTTGCTGTCCTCATGTGTAAATGTATGTCTAAATTAAATTAAACAAATCATCCTCTTGTTTTGAGTATTGTTAAATGTGTGTGTGTGTGTGTGTGTGTGTGTGTGTGTGTGTGTGTTTGAGAGAGATGTCTAGGCCAAGATTGGTTACGTTTAGCTAGTGTAAAACATCAGAGCGTAAATGTCTTCCATTTATTCCCACCAATAACTAAATTTACTTGAACAGTTTTACAGTTTATATCAAGTGCAGTCTTGATTTACAAAAATCTGAATATATCTGTGGTCACATTTGTGATTAATATGAAAAATCCCCTTTTCATAAATTGTATGTTTCAAGATATTGTTACATTAAATAAAAGTACAAAATGCATTAATAATTATTACCTCGTTGTGTGTGTGTGTGTGTGTACACACTCAGACACAGAATACATAATATAGGCCTATATATATGAAGAGTTCAAATGCAAAAGCCTCTAAATGCCATTTGAAATTTTCTTCTTTAATGATGATTTTTGTCAAACTTGTATATTTAAGTTCAGTGATTTCACTTAAATGGCAATGATAATTACCTATTAATTGTTATTTAAGTGAAATTACTGGAGTTAAATATACAAGTTTGACAAAAATCATCATTAAAGAAGAAAATTTCAAATGGCATTTAGAGGCTTTTGCATCTGAACTCTTCATATAATAGGCCTATATTATGTATTCTGTGTCTGAGTGTGTATGTGTGTGTTTGTATATATATATATATATATATAGCCTATAAACAGAGAGAGAGAGAGAATTTTCCACCAGTAACAGTTCTGACCAAAACTGAACTTTTTTAAAATCTCTTCTAAGCCATGTAGTGGTTTCTTTGGGCCATCTAAATGATAAAATACACCTGCACACTTAATTAGGATTTCTTTTAGGGAATACATGTTAAATCAGTATAAAAACACTTGTATACCTAGATGTATTAAGATAAACACAAAAAAGCAATTACTATTGCAGTTCAATTGATAGTGCTTGTAGTGTGTACAGTCCAGATCAAATTCAAATCGACAAGAAAACCGTGAAAACAGTAAGTCAAATGCATATGGTCAAGATACACAACAAAATGAGCAAACGGTATAAAATCCATTGACTGCCATATCATGTATTACATAACCTGTAAGGGGGCATCAGAGCTGTCTGCCAAAAAGTGCCCGTAAACTCACTGGCCCGAAGTGCTGTTTAATCCCACAATGCAGTGCATGGCGCGTCACTGAAGAACGACCATGATGGCGGCGGTCGGTGCACCAGAAGTGATTTCACAGCTGGAAAGCGCTGCCAAAGTTTTAATGGTGAGCATTTCGCCGCTGTTTTCACGTCTCTGTCTGTATGCTGTTAGCTCTGTGTGTGGGTTCACTCTGAGGGACTCTTCCTGGTCGTCAGTTAGCGGGGAAAGCCTCGATAAACGCGGAGCGGTGCGTGGCGCAGTGCTCGACTCGCTCCATCCCGCAGAAGCCAAGCGCAGCCACCATCACCTTCATCATCACCATCTTCTTCTTCATCATCATAATAGCACCACTCTGGTGACACAGTCAGTGTGTATAATGATCGCGGTGAGCTCAGGTGATGTGTCTCAGAGGCCTAGTTTGATCCTCCAGCCTTGTAAAAGCGCGCTGGATGAGTTGAAGTGTGTCTGCTGGAGTTTCTCCATCAGCTGCTGTAGTTTCACACGCTGTTGATTCAGCCGCATGTTTGCTCAAGCACATGTTTAGCAAAGCTTCAGGGGACCAGAGAAACGTTTAGCTTATTATTTATGTCATAGTAACACCATATCCTTAATTCTCTGCCGTTAAAATAGTTGATTAGTTACACTGCTGAAAGTTGAGAGCAGGACATGTGCAGTTAGATGATGGCCTGTGCAGTTCACTAGCAGTGTCTCTCAACCTGGGCCATGCAGTTGTTACTGTATTGTTAAAATATCATGGCTTCATGGCCACTAATTGAAAATTAGTTTTTGAAATTCAATGCAGTGTTTTAATTGGGTGAATCAGTTAGGCTGTAATACTCTGTGAAGCTGTTAGTCCAGTGTTTTGATTTTAATGTCACATAACATTTTAGTGGTTTTGCAAAACTGTTATTAGTTTTAATAGCTGATATTGATGTTTAGAGAGAGTAGAGATAATGTATGGCATTGTTTGCATTAAATGAGCTGTACACTTTAAACTAAACTTGCTCAATTAAATGCGTGAATAAATGCAATTATTATACAGTGAGTGCATTATAAATTGACAAGGCTGTGGGTGAATTTTGGTAATAACACCAGGAACAGCTTTCACTTCTGTTGAACGTGTAGGGATAGTTAGCGACCTATGGCGGCCATCTCAAACTGCTGGCTTCTTGAAAATATTTTTCATACTGTTTTAGTAACAATGTAAATACTCTGAGTTCTCTATAGAAAATTATGTATTTAAACTAGTGTTCAAAAACTTTTTGGCAAGATTTTTTTTATTTGATAAAAAATACAGTAAAAATGGTAATATTTAGCAATTATTATAATTTAAAATAACTTGTCTTCTATTTATATATATATATTGTTATCAAAGCAGAAATTTCAGCATCATTACTCCAGTGTCCCATTTGATGCTCATTTCATATTATCATATTAACTGTTTAAAACATTTTCTGTTTAATATCTTTGTGTTTCTGTTTAATATCTTTGTGAAAACTTTTAAAAAGATGTATAAAGAAATTATATTCCAGAGTTACAGAGAAACATAGTGTTAACTTGAGCTTATATTGAATAAACCCGTAGTATAAATATTTTCATTTATCGGGAAACATCCTTATGTGTATAGAACTTCTGAATCAATACTTTCATGGATTATAGATTGATTACTTATTTAGATTTTTTTTTTATTATTATTATTATTTTTTTAGGTATTTGTTTAAATATGGTATAGGGGGGTAGGAGTACATAAGTTTTACTTCTTCCTACTCCTTTTTGCACATGTAAATAGAGGGTTGTTTTTTTTTTGTTTGTTTGTTTTTGTTTTGTTTCTTTTAATTAATATTCCTTGTTTCATTGATTAATAACTGTATTTTTATTTATTATTTACATGTTCAAAATAAAGATCTCAAATAAAAAAAAAATCAAATCAAAAACTGATGAATATTTTCAGAATTAATTGAAAAAAGTCTTGTGTGAAATATAAACTGTAGAATGTGATGTTTAATGTTATGAGTGTGACGTGTTCACAGGGCAGACTGGACTGAATGTGTTCACATGGGTATTGTGTGTTGCTTCAATGGGAACAGAAAACCTTGGTTTGTCATCACTGTTGAAGGCTCTTTTACCATTTTGTCATGTGACCTGTTATGATTTTGAAATGGTTGTATTTAGCCTGGTGTAGTATTTCCCATTTGATTGAGACTAAAAGACACCAAAGAACTATTAAAAAACTAAATAAATACAATGTGGACTATTGTTCAAATGTTTGGGCTCAGATTATTTAAAACTTTATTTAGCAAAGATGCATTAAATTGATCAAAAACGACAGTAAAGACATTTAAAATGTTACAATAGATTTCTATTTCTAATAATTGCTGTTCTTTTGCAAAAAAAAAAATAAGCAGCATAACTGTTTGAAACAATTGATTGTAAAAAGTGTGAATCAGAATATTAGAATGATTTCTGAAGGATTATGTGACTGAAGACTGGAGTATTATTTAGATATGTCACAGTATTACTGTTTTAACTGTTTAAGTAATTGCAGTTTTGGTGAGCAGAAGTGACTATAAGAATTGAAATAAAGATAAATTGTAAGTTCATTTATTTAAATACTTAGAGATGGATATGACAACTAAAATTACTATCTCATTGCTTACTTTAGTGTATGATGATGCTTGATGCTCATTAGCATCATGTGTAATATTTGACCATTGTAACATGTTCAAGCACACAAACTTTTAACCCCTCCTATGAATGTGTTCGCAGGCACCGCCGTCCATGGTCAGCACAGAGCAGAGGCAGCATGCAGAGCACATATTCCTGTCCTTCAGGAAGTCAAAATCCCCCTTTGCTGTCTGCAAACACATCCTCGGTGAGTCTCAGATCTGACAGACACTGCAACTTTTACTGACTCTACTGTGTTGTTGGTGGCGGATGAAAACGGTCATATGCGTGCACATAGTACAAAGTAGTCATATGAACTGCCAGGTCAGTGCTGACAATAAATCCAGAATAAATGCAAAGAAACAGTTTGTGGTGATAACTTATCCCATTTATTCATAAAATAAATAAAATAACCACTGTCAAGATAATAAATATATATATGATATTATACAATAATAAATGAATGTTGTCTTTCTTTCTCCTCAGAGACTAGTAAAGTGGACTATGTGTTGTTCCAGGCAGCCACAGCCATCATGGAGGCTGTGGTTAGAGAATGGATCCTTTTGGAGAAGAACAGCATTGAGTCCCTCAGAACATTCCTCCTCACTTACGTCTTACAGAGACCAAAGTAAGTGTGTGAATGAACATGAAAGTGTGTGTAACTGAACGTTTTGTGCAACTGAATTTTGTGTAAATCTTTCTGCTTCGCTGCAGTCTGCAGAAGTACGTTCGAGAGCAGATCCTGTTAGCAGTAGCAGTAATAGTGAAGAGAGGCTCTCTCGACAAATCCATCAACTGTAAGAGCATCTTCCATGAGGTCAGCCAGCTCATCAGCAGCGGCAACCCCACAGTGGTAAGACTTGCGCATCACATGGATGAAAGCTGTGAGAATTTGCTGCAATATAAAAGTATAATTCAGCAAAAGCTCATTAAATGTTGTATGCAAATGATTCCTTCAGTTAATAACATTAATGGTAGTCTTCTACTTGAAAATTCTCAGCCAGGTCTAGGCAAACATTGCATAACATCAATTATATTTATGGCCAGCTTTCACTCTTGTAGGGCTTATATATATGAGGGGAGTATATACTGTAGCCATAGACTGTAAAAAATGAAACAAGCACACTGACAAGATAAATGACTACGGTCTAATCTTACCACAAAAAATCTGTATTGATAATATGATGCGTTT